AAAAAACGCGGATTAGCGTTTTTTTTTCGTAATTTTCGAACACTCAAGGTGAGTACTGTAAGCACATTTCCACTATGATTTCGATATTGTTACCATCGACTCTTTCAGCCGCTAAGCTATTCTATTCCCAACGAATGGTCTGTGTTTTTAGAAATTGATAAGCACCAGACACTGCAGACACTGCAACGTGACAGCACCAGACAGAAACATGGGAATTAGGCCAAGTGTTAGGGGTCAGCACAGAAATCCTGTCATTGATCAGGACCACAGACTGAACCATGCGCGCAGTAGTGCGCGTCAGCCAAATTGGTATATAATACACCAGTCGGATCACCGAGTGCCGCCGGGTGCTCCTCCTTCTGTTTCACGGCCCGGCCGGGCCGACCTGGCTTCGCCAGGCACTCTTCCCTTGGGCGAGGTAGAATGCGCTAAATGTGCCAAATGGTGGCAGTTATTTTTTTATCAAAATGTAGGAAAATGTGTTGAAAAGAGCTCAACATCAGTCATTATCTCACCTGGTCCATCTTGCTTACTACAGACCTTCAACCGTGAGAAGGCTGCACCTATATCATTAAGGACGCAGTTGTAACATCAGAATGGAGTAAAGTTGAATTAGTCCGGATGAGTCCTCGACACCCGCAAGGGGCACAACTCTGTATCACGACTTGGAATCAAGGGCTGGCTGATGCTGTCACGAGCATTCTGAATATGGTGACCTGCCCTTTTAACGGATTCTTATCGGACCTTACGTCGCCTGACATGTTTACTTCCTGTCGTCCACCAATAGCGTTCCCGTCGCACCCCCTTCACCACTTCTTGGAATCAATGTCTCACTGCTACTGGGACCAGCGTTGTGATTTTCCGTGACAGAAGCACGGGAAGGCACACACAAATACACACACATAGTACAGACTTACCCTCCCTAGCGATTATGTGTAGCAGCTATACATCACCTGTGCTCCTGTTGAACATCGAGTCCCTCGAGCGGGCGCCAGTAACGTCTCCATTCGTCCCTGCAACGTGCAAGAGTTGCCCAGTGAACTCTCTCTGCTCGAGGGACACGATGAACTTCATACCATTCGTTCAGAGCTTTCACGAAGAAGTCTGACCATCGCATAGGCGGTCGTCCAGGCCTTCGCTTGACGGCCGCCTATGCGATGGTCAGACTCAGGTGGACGCATGACGGGCCCCGCCCACCTGACCTTTGAAACCTTAGCAAATGCGGCGGCGTCTCTGATCTTCGATCGTCGGCGAAGTGGGGAGCTCCGGATTGCCTCTCTCACTTGCGTGCTTGGTGATCTTGGTCTTCTTCGCTACTCCTCGATGTTTCTTGGGATGTGCTCCCCAAGGCGCTCGCTTCCTCCTGCTCAGCTCTGTGCTAAGGACAACCCATGTAACATAGCTAGAGCATTCAGAGATGGTCGTTCCGTTGAGCGTGAATGGGGCATCAGAAACCAATCCGTTTCTCATGAACATCGTCTTCGTTAGATTCAGCCGTAGACCGATTTTTCCACACGCGCAGTCGAATTCAGCCAGCATTCGTTCCGCTTGCTCGATGTTTGGTGTTATCAAAACGATGTCGTCAGCAAAGCGGAGATGGTGTAGTTGCCGACCGTCGATCTTCACTCCCATGTCTTCCCATTCCAGTTGACGCATGACGTTCTCGAGAGAGGCGCTGAAGAGCTTGGGCGAGATGGTGTCGCCCTCGGACCCCTCTCTTCACATCAATGATGATCTCCTTGTAGAATGGTGAGATCTTGGTCGTGAAGTTGCTGTAGAGTTAGGATAAGTACACACACATATATCAAGTGCATCTTGAAAAGATGGAAACAGTGAACGTGGATGATTTTCTTACTCTGCATACATATTGGAGGTCTTTCTGAAGGATATTCTTGCTGGCCAAGAAATTTATGACCCTGCCACGCGCATAACCTGTGCAGAGTCTTATGGGGAAGTAAGTCGCCTGTCCAGTCAAAAACGGTCGTTCGAACTTTAGTGCACTATTGATGGGACACCAAACCGATGTCGCTTGATGCTGGCACAGCGGTGACAGCTAAAGTCTACTCTTATAGCCTTCAAAACATGGATGACGATAGAGCTCTGTTGAACAAAAGAAAATTCATTCTCAACCAAGAAAACGCTCATTAAGTCGGTTTCCTAAACGTCTGTAAGTGGTAGTCAGCATTTTCTCTACCGAATCAATTTGTTCGTTCTCTACCTTTCTCTTTTCGTTACGTATGAACAATCCTACCGCCGTTCAACATATCGAAAGATATTAAGGAGATGCGCTCGTGGTTGGCTGTGGTGAGTATTCTATGTTTCGACTCTCCTGGAATAACCGAAAAATGCGACAAGCATGACTCATCAGAAAGTCCGGGATACAAACTCGCATCAGAAATGCTCACGAAGTCCATCAACTTCTCGGTACGTCATCGTATTCTTCAAGTAAGAAATACGTTTGTTCAATGGGTCACCTATCCTAATCTGCGTACAGGACATAAAGTTGAGATAAAGATATCGATAGAACGATAGCACTTGATGAGTATAGAATAGACTAGTATACACCAAACTAGATAAACATGGATGGAGAATAGCAGATGAAGTCCTCGTCGATCGACGTCACTTTGATACGCAGCGCGCAGTTCACTGCGCGCTGCGTATCAAAGTCGAATTCACATTCGAAATCGTAGTGTCTTTTTTGAAGGTTTGTGGCCTACACAATAACATGCGGAGCAGTCGACGTACAGGTCAGCGTTTTCGCCCTCCCACATGAATATGGTAACAGTATACCGTCCAGTGAAAAGAAAGTTTTGGTCTCCCTGAGCGGGAGCCGAGGACTAGATTCCCGAATTAGCGTGCCGCCTGCCGCTACATCACCTCCCCCCCCTGGACGCGAACATAGGAAAACATGTACTGTAAAGAAATCTGGATATAGTTGCAAGCTAGATCGCAGCTCCACTCCATACAGCACCTTTGCTGTGAGCGGTGTAAATGCCTGGTAAACCTACATTTCAGCACGCGTGGTATATAGCAAGCAATTTGAGACGTGCTCTAGCGGTTGAGATGAGCTTAAGAGGTAGGCGGAAGCGGTTGCGGGGCGCTCAAGAGGTTAGGCAGCGTTCATACTTCGCGACAGTAGCGGCGATTGCTTCAATACTGGCGATAGTTGCGATGGCGGCTATGCGACAGAGTGCGCCCCCACGCTTTTACTCGGGCCACTCGCATTACTAAATAATGAATTCCAGCTTGTGTGACCTTTTTTCTTAATAATAGCCACTAACTGCAAATGTCTTCAAGAGGTCTGGCGAAACGATGGAGAATGGATTTCACCTTTTTTTGTGAGTTTAGATGAAGCTGGCAGGTTCATTTCGTCTGTGTGCTTTCCTTATTGCTGTTTCCTTGTTTCCATTGTTTCTGCTGTTATACTTGTCTTGGAAACATTCTATTGGCTCAACTTTCCTAATCTAGAACATCTATGGTTCGTTGAAACAACGAAAAAAAGGAGGTCAGCTAGGAACTGAAACACTGATCATTTAAGCAATATCGAGAAAGAAGACTTCTCATAATGCATGCATAGGCTCCAAAGAATGGAAATAGGGACCTCAAGAAAGTTACAAAAAATTGAGCTTCCACGCTTTCCGCCCATATGTGCCTCAAGTTAGAAAGGAATTAGAAAAAAAAACCACTAATCTGGTTTCACTTTTCATTGAGCGAAGACAGTCTCTAGTTCTAGAACAATTGCAACTAAAAGAGAAAAGTTCTACGTTAAGTCCATCTCCCTCACTAGTATTCGGAATAATAGCACTCGGTCGCACACCGGCGATCGCCGCTGCTGCCGCTTAAGTCTTTGACCGTGGAGAATCGCCTTCAATATCATCTTGTTCTTCATCAAGGTGACGATGCGGTCAGAACGCACTACTGTGAACAAGTGTCGGCCAGGTTTCATTTAGCAATAAACACATGCGGTGTGACAGATGCTAATATATGATCAACTGAAACCAACTGTACACAACAGAAGTTCAGGTTGATCCATGCGTGGATTTTTTCGAGTTCACTTGTGGCAACTGGATCGCCGCTCATCCGATTCCTGACGACGAAACCTTCCGCACACAAGCACACGTAGTCTCAGATAAAGTCCTAGAACAAATGAGAGGTATAACGTCATCATAACATACTCAAGATCTGAAGTTCTGATAAGGTAGTGCCCAGGTTTTCAAAATTTAGTTCGATGAAGGATTCTGAATGTAACTCATAACCAGCAATGCAGGCTTCATCAGTTGGATCTTGTACTGCTCAATAATTCAGTAGTAAGATTCAGATGCATTTGAGTCGCCAGAGATCTTCGCTTCGAAATCCATGAATGCCCTGAAGTCTATATACCACAAATGTATGGACGAAAAGGAACTTAACAGGATCGGGCCCAAACAGCTTCTGCAGACCATTAAGGCATGTTTTCTGCAAGCCTTTCCGAACAGTTCTTGGGCTCAGTGATTTTTGCAGAGTTATGGTGTGTGGCCGATGGTGGATGGAGACGATAAATGGCGAGTGGAAAACTTCGATTTGACTTCGTTGATGATTCATGTTAGCGTTAGAGGGCCTGGCGTCTTTGTCGATTACCAAGTTTTGGTCGACTACAAGAACACATCAAGAAGGATTATCCAGGTGAGAACAGTGAGCAACTTACTAAATGCGTTTTTATTGACATGAATGATGTCATCGCACCCTATGCATTTCGATTTCAAGTATCGACTCTTCTACAAAAGTGAAGAATAGAACCAGAACATTACCACTTGAATATTAAAAGTCTATAGTAAATGACAGTAACATGATAGAAAGCAAGACAAAAGCCTCAAAAGCTTAAATATAAAAGCCAGTGAAGGAGTACCTCGCATCCCGCATCGGCGCCATCTCTTTCAAGAGGCGGAGTTTTATGATTCGCTGTCGACAGGAAGCATTTATGCGTCATGATATGAGTGATGTCAGTTTTATTTCCAGAGGCTCTGCAGCACCGAGCGGTAAAACACTGACATGAACGGTGTAGCTTTGGCGCTGATCAGTGCCTTTGAAGTGTGTCATGCACATAGAACGTATGGTGTTTATCCCAGGAACGTCTGTTCGTGAGCTAGAGACGCAAGAAAGTTTCTCGTGCTGCCGAACCCCTTTGCTATGGTACTTTGACCTTACAAGGATCTCTCACAGTTGCCATAGGGCTGCCCTGTAGTTGTACAGGCCAATGGCGAATCATTGCTCAGAGCTTGAAAATGAGGGAACGTTCTCAGACCGGTTTCGTTTTGCATTCACCTCACAAAGGACGAAT